GATTCTCTGCGCATCTGAAAACCTTAACGTTCGTGTTACTCGTTAGGATAGTTGCCAACTTGAACTTCAGCATAGTCTCACTACACTGCTGAACGACTGATATCACAATCATCACCGTGATAACAGCATTTATCTCAGGCAAAAACAGATAAAAGAAGATCTCAGGATTACAATTAAAAAAAAATCAGGAAAAATGGTCAGGATTTGACGACTTTCCATTCAAAAATTCTAAATGAAACTTGACAACTTTCATTTAGAATTTTTCACGCAAAGGTGAGCGGTGGTGCACGGGATATACATTCTATTACGGGAAACGCAATAACATAATCGAAAATCAACCAAATTAAGAATTTTTTTTTTGTTCGATTCCTCATAATGAGCAGAAACGAGTTAAAGAGGACTGAGTTCTGAGAATCTGGAAGCATTCAGTATTTCCCGATTGGAAAATGGGTTGCAACAAAGTGGTCTCCGAACAAAACCGGAAAACTTTGTCGAGAAAACACCTGCGGTTTAGCTTGAACCTGATGTAATTTCGGCTGACTGTATAACTGTGGCACATTCACTCAATTCGAAACTACGAAGAGTGAGGGACAATCTCATATTCAGATATAGCTTGAAACGCCTGTATTACAAAAAATCACGCTTTTGAGACTAGAGACAATCTTATCTTAAATGTTGGCTTACTGATCAACATTTTCATCTTTATGTCACTCTCAGAATTCGGAACGTCTCTGAAGAAAGTAGTATACGATTGTCTGGTGGATTCTGAGACCTCATGACAGATTATTGCTCGCTACACTTTGTTCCACTAGTCTTTTTTCTGAAATCACATCTTTCCGAACAACTGAGACCATGAACAGAAGCTTCAAGAACTGAACATGAGTGAGCCATCGAAATGAGGCGAAGATAGATGAAAGGATAATCATACATAGAATTATTGTCATATACAGTGGTGAAGAGATGTCTGGATTTCTGATTTCTTACAGGTATACTCATCAATCCCGATCAGCGATTGAAATATTTAGTCATACCGTTCATGCTGCACTCGGGTTACAATAGAAGTCTTCCAAAACAATATTCACTCGATGAACATGCTAACATCTAGTAGTTAATCTTATTTTCTTTGTTTTGAATTGAGTAGCTGTAACTCGTTCAGCACACAGTTAGATGCCTATGTTTGGATAGTCCCTCACAACAACAGTGTTAAGTTGTAATCCGGGAAGCCATTCCTCTTTGCCATAATTGGGTGTCAAACTTCTGTTTGTCTTTATCGTTATGGCGCCATAATTAAAGGCGGCCGCCCAATTAACAATTAACGTAATCTGGTTATAGAGGATTAGATAATACTAATATCAAATATGTACGTCCATGTGACAAGCAGGATATTCAGTTCATAAGTATTTCGATTCCGAGATGCTATCTTCTTAGCTTTCACGACTTAACAAGAACTACCCGCTGTCGCCTTTGCTGTGTGTAAATGAATCCCTTGGTCTAGAGGTGAGAAGTAAACAGTTATTTTGCAGATTCTGCTATACTTCTTGTCGCAGACATACATACCTGACCTATCATTTTTGAGGTCAAAGTGTGGCAACTGCTGCATCAAATGTAGTTGGGTGAAGACCGGCAAACTCATTGAGTCAAAGGAGATATCAAAGAATAAATGACATAGAGCAGAAGATATGGATAAGAATTAGCGAATTCACCAGAAATATAAGAGAACAATAATGTTAGCGAAAGATGATAGGAGTTTTTTGAACATCAGATTGCCGTGCTAATCCATTCAACAGACGTTCCTTTTAAGCCGAAAACTATAGAGAGAAGATAGCCGATGCTCACTCATAACATAACGATCTCCCCTCCTTTACTTGTTAATTGTAAAACTACTGATCAAGTTCTTATCCCTACTGTAAGTGCAGATGATTCATGAATGTCACAAAAAAAGGAAACAGAAAAAGTAGAAGTTGGGAGAAAAACCATTCTCATCTTCTGCAGAAAGAACAAAAACATGAAGGCAGAGCAAGTATGACAATGCTGAATAAAGAAAAAGAGAATTAAAGGTTCACAACAATTTCTTCAGCCGTCATCTCGTACAGTTGTAAGTGGATGCGATAAGCGTGTTTGGATGGTCTCACAAATCCATATATCGACTGCTTATCATCCAAAAATATCTGATTGACCTTCAAACTACAACATTTGGAAAAAAAAATTTTCAACTGAATATGACCTTTATCTCAGTTCTCTGAGTATATGTTTTTATAAATGGCTGTGAAGAGAAGAAAGTTGAACTGGGAAGTTTCTGAAATTCACAAATGGTTTGAAAAGGCTCGAAAACGTTTCTCAAGCTTTCTTTCATCTATCCTATCTCTTCGAAAAGTCAAGAAACAGCTTGATAGTGAAGGAGTTGCTGAAGAAGGTACTGATGGTGTTTGCTTTCTTCCTCGAAGTCTTTGTCGGTCTCGCTTCTCTTCAGCTTAACTCTTGAACGTTGTATATCTGGAAATCGTCTGCTCAAAGCTATGCTCTCGCTCACCTATCTTATAACTCCCGAGCTTTTAGCCGGTTCTTTTAGCTCTCTCTCTATTTCTCTTTATCCATCTTGATCACTAACTCATATACTCCGTATATCCGGTGATGTCGGCTGTCTCCTCCGATACAACATTATTTTCTTTTCGTTTTCTTTCCAAAAATTCTAAATGCTATTTCTCTGAATGGCTTTGAGTTCATTCACGTTCACTCACTCTCATATGAAACTTTCGTCTTCACACTCTGTTTTATTAGGAAATTGCATTGTTTCTTGTGTTGCAGCAACGTTTGTAACATCTAGTCAACTGCATTTCATTGAACATGTGATGTGATAAACCTTCGAGTTGAGATGTCCACAATACTTAACGACCTTGCTCAAATCTGCTATCGATAAATGACCTTTTCGCAGCTATTATCATCGTCTAAGTTTCATTTCACAATGCTTCTCAAACGTTTCTCATTACTTATTACATTTATCTTCTTGTTCATCTCAATTCATTCTTTTGGCGCTGTTTGTGATCTCTCGAACTATAACTTCTGAATTGGCGTTTTGCCACCCATTATCAAGTAATTACGTCATCTATTACATTTCTATTACAATATTTCAATAAATTACAGCATCTTTTGAACGAATTACAACCGATATGTCGATGAAGAGACAGCTCGGCCGTGGGAAATTACAAAAACCACCGACAGGGGAACTCCCCTACCTTAACCCAGACGTTCCATTCGTTATAGCTGGCGCTTAGAGCTGAACTCAATTGCATGTGACAATGATATTGGCAGAACTATTCGATGAGAAATCATTTTTCTCATTCTCATATGATTTCATTGAGTTTTAAAGAGGTGATCAGTAGTGAGTGAGAGAGTGAGAGAGAGAGACAAAGAGACTAGCAATGATTCAGAGGAAACTGTCGATGAACGTGCGCTCATAACTTCACATGCTTTCAAGATTGAATAGTTACAATTAATTTTATTATGATCAGAGCTATTTACCGCTTCTGTGCACTTTATGAAACAATCGATTAGTTGAAAGCTGAAGCTTAGATCTCTATGGCTGTTCAAACAGGCTGCCAGCCAAAATGCATCTTTGAGTGTTGCAAGTGATTTCATGTCTTCCAAAATTTCATGGGAAAATGTTTGACGTCTGTAGTTCTGAAGATTCCGATTGATTGGTGAAGCGTGAATGTTTGAGATGAATCTTCCCTGTATTGTAGTTACTTTCACACATATTATATAATCTTAATGAAAAAATGATAATAATGATGATTTTGGGTAGAAAGAGAAAAGGTTAATGAATTGATAGATTGATGACTGAAGAAGAAGACGTAAATGGCATCATTGGAAAGTGAAAGAGAGAAAAGCAGAGAGAGCGACAGAGATATGAACCTGTTAATGTTCTCGAGACACTTTCCTTTTCATTTTTCACATTCAACAACATGATTGATAATCTGACGTCTTTTTTTAATGAATAATATTGCCAAGGTTATCAAATGCATATTTGAAACAAATAAGAATAAGCTTGTCGTCGACAGCTTTTCATTCATCTGCTATGTGCCATTCATTTCTCGACTACTAACTCTTCACTCCTAATGAGTTCTCACGAAGCATTCGTTGTCATTCTCTCAAAAAAAAAGGATCCCACACACACACACACACACACACACATCATCGAGTTCATCAACAGACTGATAAGAGTAGAACACCCAATTCATTTCTTTCCACATCAACTTTTTCATCCTTTTTTTTCAATAAAAATAATCATTGGATAACTGTGTTACCTTAGAGAGAGGAGAATCAGGTTCTTCTTGCCAGACAGTCCGAGTCCTCCGTTTCGTTTGCTTTATAGAGAGACACAAATCTGTAATTCAATAAATGAAAAAATGATAGAGCAGTTGGTTGAATTCATCAAAATCTGTCTGCAACTGTTTCTTCATTCTATGATTTACAATATCGTCTGACACCTCAATACCTCCATAAAATATCTTCTTATTATGCCAACTGTTGGACTTGCATTCACTCATAATACTCATTTTTCTTGCATTTTATCAATTATTAGAAGATACTGTGCAGTTCTCTCTCTTTCTCTATCTCTCTCTACACAATGTCATTCAACAGCTGAACGGACTTCTGAATAATGATTGCTGATGATTGAGACTCATAATTCTCCAATACTTCATTGCTCCACTGATTTATAGTTCGCACCGATTGAGCCTTCAAGTAGATGGACATTCATTGAAGCCTCTTTGACGCTCTGATTCATCTGCAACAAAAAACTGCCCCCAATACTGTATTTTATATTCTCACAATATTATTCGAACGAATACAAGATTATAATGATTGATAAATAGAATTTCCCACCTTTCGGTTTGCTCGGCTATCTCCTAATGCAATATTCGAAGCGTCTCACATAATGAAGTTCGCTATCAATCTATTTTGTCAGTTCTAACTATATGCGTTTAATTTTTTGTTTTGAAACTCTGAAATGATGAAGACACAGATAGTTCTGAATAACTATCCTTCGAGACAAACTGATAGTCCGGGTAGTATTGTATACGAAGGATGCAAATTTAAGAATTGGTTTTCATTTTTGTAGTTGAAGCGTTGAGGAACGGTTGTGCTCTTGCCTTTCAATATAATCCTCGTCAAATCCTTTCTTTTCTAATCTTTTTTTCTCTCTCTCATACTCTCTTTTATCCCTTCTCTCTCTCACCGTGAACCCCTTCGTATCTTTTCATATTTTATTTTCTATCGTTCTCCCATAATCTCATCTGGATGTCGTTATCCAAGTTCTTTATCCATATGTGCATATGGAGCCCTCTCGTATGTCTCTAGTCTCTCAACTTGATCTTTTTTTTCTTTTGGCTACTTTCACCTCATCCTTTCCTCGGCTGCAGCATAAATTTGAAAATTTTGAGAACTTAACGAATTTCCATCGAAATGTTCAGAGTAGAGGGTCTGAGAATAGAGTACATCTTCTTCCCCATCCGAATTCTTATCATGATTACCTTTCTAGTACATATGCCCTTAGTTAACAACCAGTAACTTTTGTTTTATATTCAGTTTTCTTTTGATAGCATTCTTCTTACTCTTTTACTATGCCTGTCACTATCCTGACAGTGTATTGAGGAAACGAAGTGATGTTCAGAGTTGAGAGATTGTACGTCGTTTTCCATTGCTGCATAGATTGCTAATATTGAGAATCGTTATCATCAGGCTAAGAAGGACTTAACATATCTAGTTTGCCATTGATGCTTTCTTTTTTTCTTCTTTCTATTAGTAAGTAACTTCTTGTCGAGCAACAATCTCATTATTCAGCTCATCGTCCGACCCTCCTTGCTCATCTCACAGCTATTCTTTGAGCCAACTAAGCCATCAACGTTAGCTTTGACATTTTTCTGGAGCCATTAAGCTTATTGTCGTTCCGACTTCATCTGTCTTACAGCTTTGATGTTCGGGCTGACCGGTTCTGCAAAAAGTTTAGAAGAGCGGAAACGTTAGAAAAATTTTATACTCGATCAAATTACTATGTCACTTATCCTTCTGTGTGAGTATTGAATGTTGTACTCTTCGATGACGAACAGAGTTCATGAATACGAAAGTTCCCACTTTTATAGTAGCTTGCCTGAATACCATCTCCATACCATCATAATGAAACATTTGATTGAACAAAAGACATACAGATGGAAATCACAAGATTAACGAGGTCAGCTGAATGCTTCATACTATCTTGACTTCCCACATGTGTTGTCATTTAGAAACAGAAACTTTCTGCAACATCCTGAATAGCTTCTGAAGCAGCTTCTCTCCAAATATCTTCACTTCCTATTGAACCTTCAGTGAAAACAAGTCATCCTGAGTTCGGGATACTGCATAATTTCTTTCCATGCGCGATACTCATTAAAACACTGAGAAGTAGTTAGTTAAGTAGTTCAACACTCTAAGAACTATTATGTAGGCAAGGCCCTCCTTTCCTTCTATCCCGAATATTTGGCAATTCTATTTGTCTTCGTCCCTTATTTCACTCTGTGATGTTGAAGCTTCTGCTGCTCCTCTGTTGTGCCTATCACTGCCCGTATCGGATGAACAGCCGTGTGTATGTGTCTACTAGAGAATTGGAAGAGAGAACGAAACCCAGAGATGACTTTCTGAGTATTATCATTCAGTTACGACCTGTGCTTATACTCATATCGACATTAGATTTTTAATTTTGACCTTATTTTCAGTTCCATCCTATCATTCTTCTATTAACACCTATCCCTCATTCATTATCCCTCTCTGTACATTAGGAACTTTGAGTTCATTGTGCGCGAGATCGAAATAAGCAAATCCTTCGGAACTGCTTTCACTTCAATGAGTTATGTAATGCAGCTGTTAGTGAAGACAATTATCATTTCGCCGTTCCGAAGTCGGTTGCATCGAATTTTCTACTTTCAATGACCGCCAAAAGAGTATTGCTGAGCCGGTTGTTGATATTGGAGCTGCCGGCTGTCTGCCGGAAAGTCTTTGACGTCTTTCTCAATGACCATTTTGATTTGTAGAACTCTACTCCTAATACCAATGAAATTGAGGCAGTTCAATTACCGACTATATCTGACTGCTCTACAATGGAAGGAAGATTAATTAGCTGGCAGTCGTTATATCATATAAGACGAAGAAGCGGGAAAGACAAGAGGTGTTCGGCTCTGGAATCATCCTACTTCTAGCTTGTAGCAAATAACATCGCTACATCAGTCAAATATGTTTTCTATCAGTCGTTTATGAACCACAAACTAGTGTGCTGATCTAGCTAAAGCATGAAACAACAGTTTTATCAAGCGTTTCCGTCGGCTTATTCTTTGAAGATTCACACGTTAACAGAATCTCAGATTGTGAATGTTTCTGAGATTACGGTAGTTCAATCATATATTCACATCTACAAACTATTTATCGGCTAAATTTGCAGGGGAACCTCATTCTGAATCATGACTGAGTTGATTCTGTTGATCTGTCGTTTTATATGATGATCGTAAACCTTCTGCTCTTTTTTCGGCTCATACTCACTGTTGCTGTACGCAGAAGTTAATGTGATTACATGTGGACGTCTGCTTCAGAACTATTCCTACCCTTCCCTTTGGCAGCAAAATGTATGACGAAGGGGTAGAACTGTCCTGATAACGTGAACAGCCTTTCTCCATACGATTATTTACCTCGTTATGAAAATACCTGTATGTTATCCCAAATAAGCTTTGACTTCAAGCGCAGTTGCTGGTTCGAAGAGTAGATCTTTCGTCGTTTGGTCTAAGCTCGTGGAGTAGAAAAGAATTTTTCAGTCTGTCTTCTTTTCTCTAACGTCTGGCCTTCATACAGCTAGCAGAACACTATTTTCGCATTCAACTCCATATGTCTTTCTTTCTTTCTCTAAAATTATCACTGTCTTAACGATATGAGAGAAGGAGAAGGAAGCAAGGAGAAGCTGACTAAAAGCTTAGGTGGCTGTTGATTGATGTATTCTAACTACGCGCCTGCTGCCTTGAACTGATCCAATCCCAGCCCACATTCTCATTACCTCCTATACTATCTCACTTGTGTCCATTCTCTTTGAGCAGCTGTTCTCTTAACTCTCTCTCGTATTCAAATATGAGTTCAGGTCTCTAAAACTGTTTTGTTCTCTCTTCGTTTCTTTTAATCTTTGTATTTCTCCGAACCAGGATAGGCTCTCGGACATGTCCGACTTCTAGGCTTCATCCTACCTCTTAACATCGTCAGTAGATCATTTGCTCTTTTCCCCTGCATCTCTTCTTCACTCTTTCGTCCTCGCATATTCTCATCATCCACCCTCGGAAACTCGGAGAGTCAACCCCACACACAAACGTCTAGTCCAATGAGCCAACCGTATTGGTCCTCAGGATTCCTCAAGATGTCAGTTTTAGTCCGAGTCCCTTCTATTCCCCCATCTATTTCACTTTCTTCAACTATATACTATAAATACATATATATTATAAAATATATATATATATATATATATATATAGCTTTACAATATAGTTATCTTCCTACAAACCTTCAGTTTACATCACCCATCTCTGCCTTGTCAGGACCCACAGTGCTCATTCTCTTATATGTTTTCATCGTTTCGTTACCTATTTATAGTGCATAACTCGTTATTTTCAGCCTGTTTTCATGAATTGGAAAGCTTGTCTTTCTCTCGTTCTCTCTCCATCACAATTACAGTACCACCGCAATCTCACCAACCTGCCGTTGTTCAACTCTTGTTCTTTCCATTCGACCCGATCTCTGCTTTCTCTACTTCTTAACTTCTGGTTATAGAGCTTTCTGTCCATCTACGTCATAGCTCTTTCATATGATTTTTAAAGCATACTGACAAAATGATCAACATCTCAATACTATTTAGATGACGTAGACTGTAATCTATCGTATCCTACTGTTTGTTCTCATAAGTTTCAGACAAACCTTTATATATTCCAATTGTTTCCATTTTACTTTCGCTCATATTACGGTCAATCAGATGATGACGATTAGAGGAGCTTTCAAATGACGAGGTTGTTGGTGGGACATTCAAATGGCTTCATATCGAAAGTTTCATCTGACAACATACGCCTCCGTCTAGTCCATCATCAAACTCTTTTCTTACCATCCAACCTTTTTGTTCATTGTTTTGTTATCAGGCTGTCATCCTCATGGTTTTTAAGACTTTTCAATTCAAATCTGAAAAGTTTCTTGAAAACTTTCCTCGGTTAGCTCTTACAGTTAGCATTATGAAAACTTCTTTTTCATGTTTCCTCATCCGATTGACAGTTAATTACTCGCTCAAGCAAAACGCTTAGTCACTATGCCGAGTCCGTTCGTTCACAATATTACAATGCCCTCGAAGGCGCAAAAATTGTAAACGAAACCTCCCTGATGGGTGTGACAAGAAACAATAAGAAAGAGATAGAGAATGAGCTCTTAATCTTTCAACCTGTTTCACCTGACTATTCTGGCTTCTTATGTTCGAAACTCTATGTTTTCATTGTTTTAATGTCTGCCATCTCTCAAAAAAGGAAATTACCCTTTCTTTATCTGCTTTTGGATAGAGCCATAAGGTCAACAAGACAACTCCGAATGCTGCGTTGAGGGCGGAGCTAACGACGACTGTTATGCCCGCCTCCTTTTAGGAAAACCAAAGCAGTTCTCATATGAGCTGGCAGATTTCTGTTCCTTTACATACATTTACATTTCTTTTCTTGATTGTTTCAATTTCTTATTCGCTTCAATTTATAAACTTCTCCATACTCTTCCAAGCGATTCTAACAACTCTCATGAAGAGATCGGTCGCTCAACGTTATGAGCTCTATCCTCATCATCTTCAACCAACGACATTTCCCTTACTTTTTTTTGTTATCCATTGGAATCTCCATCTTTCTCACTTCTTCCTTGTATCTGGTAAGTCGCCAAAGCTTTCGAGAATCAGACATCTGGATAGAATGCCCTTCTCCTTTATGGTTCGTCAAATGGATGCTAAAACGAAGATGAAGTTACTGCTTCTACCAGATGACATCCATCCCTACTTTCATTTCGCTTCCTCATTCATTCGATTTTTACCTTTATATAGCATTTACACTTTCAATCTATTCGGCTTCTTCGTATAACTCATGAAATTGAATGATCCTTCAATCCATGTAGCCAACATGTAGCTAACATCCATTACAGCTATGCAGTTGTTTCTGATTTTTGTTCATTTCATCGATGTTTTCTTTTTATTTTTCATAGACCATGTTATAGTTTGATAGCCTTTGTATGGAACAAGAATTCTCTTGAAGCTTCTGAACTTTTGTATTTTTGAGAAACGATGAAGAAGAAAGTTCAAAAGCTCGTTCTCCTTCTATGCCATGCATGTCTTGTTCATTCCATTTTCATTCTCAGAATGATTTGCCACTCAGATACATCCCTCTTCCCTTTCCTTTCCTTTCTATTCTCTCTCTATCATTCCCTACCAAATATTTTCTTTTTTTTGGTCCGCTTTCTCTGCCAAATGGAAAACTTGATATCTTTCTTTCATTGCAATCTTTTTCTTTGCTTCCCTTTCATAGTGTGTGAGTTAAAGGAAAGGATGATAAATCTCGGCGTAGGTCTGTCGACAGCCAGAGGTTGGCAAGTTTTCGTTTGCCACTTATTCAATCTCTTCAGATATTTATGTTCCGTTATTGGCTAAGAAGATTTGCTTCTGTTGCTATATTGGAACGGGTCGAAGACCGTTTTCCTTTCTATTAATGTTCACGTGACTTTGCGATCCTTCCTGGTGTTATCTCAGAGTTTCGCTTTTAATCTTGTTTTGCATGTAATCCATACTCAACGGCATCTTCTTCAATCTATCATATAAGCATTAGCATCTAGTCTATTCTGCCGCAGCCTTAGCACTGAACTAAAAGAAACTTTTCCTCACTAATTTCGTGATGACGTCACAAAGTGTTGACCCGGCTTCATACATGTATCACCTGGTTGGCCACTATCATATGAACTCTGTAAATAAGAATAGAATTTTTTCTGCTCGTTTTCTCTCATTTAGTAGGTGTTTTGGGGTAGACAAGTTTGTTCAAGTTTGAAAGAGCAACCTGTTTCTCCGCACTGAAACAAGACGGACTGTGCTAGAGCTGTTTTCTGAAACAATCAGTAACAGTTTATGAAGAATTAACAGTTCTTCTCATTTACTGAAATGTAGAAGGTTACTGTACGCTCGACCACAATAGCTTAACAAGCTCCTCTCCCCTGTCACTTCATTGGAGACATTGAATGAAGAGCTGCGTGATAAGTATAGTAAAGCACATGCACTTCCATCATTCACTATTGGTTCGTTCTTACATTTTCTCATTTTTTTTCCTTCTCATCTTCCCCTCTCCCCTCAAATCTCATATAACAACCAAGTAAGACCATATGATTAGGATGCAAAAAAACATTTGTGAAACGATGAAAGTGAGATTGATGTTTGAGAAAAAAGTATTCTGGAAGAGACAAAGAGAGACAAGCTTATGACTTTCATTACGTGGCTAAGAGAAAATTAAATGATGAATATCGTATAAAGATTGTCATTTTCTATGAACTAAGCTAAGAAAGAAGTGAAGGAGAGAGATAGATAGACATTGAGAGAGACAGAGAGACAGAAAGAGAGGAAGAGAGATGGAACAAGCTTGATATTTTGGCCAAGTGGTCGTCCATGTTTTTGGCAAAGCGAAAGCACCTAGTTTGGATCAAGTTCTATCTCTGTAGACTACATAAAATCACTAAATCGGGTTATATGCTGCTGCCACAAGTGAAAGGAAAAGCGTTGAATTCGAATGATGAAATGAATGAAAGATAGAGTAGGAAGAACCTAAGAATTGTATCGGATAGAACCCTAACCATTCAAATTCCAATTAGATTATCTACCTTTAGAGTTCTTCTTCAACTTCTCTTTACGCTCCTCTAGCGATCATTCAGAATTCCTAGCTCTCATTCAAACAATACTATCACTTTCTTACCTCACATAATGAATTTTCACTTTTTATAATTGGCAACATGAATTGTTTGATTACTCTTACAATGCCTACTTCTCACGTCAAATCCTTGTTTTCGTCATCACCTCTCTCTTTCCTTCTTCTTTCACCGTTTTTTTGAATTTTTTTTGTCAGCTATCTCATTGGTTATCCTAATAGAGACACGACAAGAAAAAATGAATTAAGTTGAAGTAGAATAAGTGAGAAGCGGATTTAGGTGAATTGAAGGATGTTGTAAGCCCTCCCCCGGAGAAAAAAAGTTTGTTATGTTCTTATTTAGAAATGATCAGAAGACAATTCTTCCAATCTGACTAATAGCTAACCTAAGGCGGTTTCTGGTGTCATCTTTTCACTTTTATCATCTTGTAAAACTTGCAGTTGACGACTAGTTGCAAAGCTAGAGCTTTGAAAGTTGCTCTTGTGTTCATCAATGTGTTCTTCTCCTCATTAATTGCCTTTATAAACTTCTTTTCTCTGTTTCTCGTCTCAAACAGCTCTTCTCTCACATTTGAGTTCGTATTCGTTCTATCTTGCCATCAAAAGCTTTTCCGATATCACTTTTCCTCTTTTCCTTTTTTCATTTTTCGAAGCAACCAAAAGCATCTGAAATACCAGCTTGCAATCGGACAGAATCCGTTGCAATACGCTTATATCCGTCTATAACAGATTTATCTCTCATAATGCATCTGTTCAGATCAGAACAAATCATTTCCCTTTCTGCTTCTATTATTCTTTCATTTTTTCAGACATTGCATAATGAATGATTGCGTATCATAGACTTTGCTTCTCCCCTTCATTCAAATTCAATAACTCATTCCTTTTACATCAATGTTTCCTTGAAACAAGACTCGACATGGACAACGATCACTATTTGACCAGTTGTTTTCATTTCAACAGTGAACGTCCCATCAAATCATTCTTGTCATCGACTTTTTTGTCTTCGCTTGCTTCATACACTCTCTCTCTCTCTCTCTCTCTTACTAACTTCTCGGTGTGATCGGTTTTAGTTTCCGGTGAGCTAGCACATCCTCTTGACAACAACATAATCTTCATGTTTTCCTTTATGTTTCTCTCTTCTTGTTCGTTAAGCGGTTTTCTCTCTTTTATTCATCTTTACTGATGTAGAGTTCAGATGATCTTCTTTTTGAGTTAAACTTTTCCTTCTCATCACGTATAGCAGGGGATTCCCCAGCGGCGTTTAAAGCACTCCTCTCTATCTTATGTACAATGAGAAGAATCCGAATGCATTACAACCTGAAATGATATCATAGGCTTGCGTTCAATCTCAATGTGAACATTGAGGAATGCATGTCTTCAGTGAGATCATACATAGGCATACAAGCTTAAGAGTTTTTCCTTCCTTGTTGACAACTTCTTTTTTAGAAAAGAGATGTTGATTAGGAGAGAAGTTGTGCATTCATCAGGTAAAAAGACATCGTCAATGTGATAGTGATGCCAGCACTAAGACATATTCTTATAGCATTGGCGACAATACCTAACGACAACCATGTCTATATTGAAGATGAGAAAAACGAAGTAGATTGAGAAAAGTTAGAGAGAAAACTTGAGAATTGGAAGAAAAAGAAAGAGAGGGAGAAACTAGGAGAGAAAGGGAGAAAAAGAGAGAAAGGGACACATTCCACCAATTTCTGCTGCAACGGGCCAACAGACCTACCCATAGACAACCCCTTTCCATCCAAGCCCTTCTACGCTTCTCTGCCTGTGATATTTCCTGTTGTCAAACAAACTAGTTTTCTGCCAATGATAACCTAAGTAGACACTTTACCTATACACACGTTCCTCTAATTGAAATGAAATCAATAGTTTTTCCATTGCTTAATCTGCTCTGTCTCTTCTCATGTCAATCCTTATCGTACCCATATCTTGCATTAATCGTTCGTTTTTCAAAAAGTTTCTTTTTATTGTTTTTTGTGAACGTTCAATCTAACATTCTTCTACGCTTATCAACTTTCTTCTTCTTCGTCTTCTCAAAACATCGAATTCATTATATATGTTAGATATAATATAAATGTTTCTTAATTTATAGGAAGGCTAGAAGCTCAAGTAAGCTGGTGGATGAATAGAGAAGTACTGTAGCTTTAGTCGGCGATAGAAACAACCACATAAAGCAGACCTCAACTTAACTTCTGTATCAAATCAATCTTGTAATAGAAGTATGGAAGTTCAAACGCAACTTCTTCATCACAATCCATATGACATCGTGAAATCGGAACCAGTCGCCGATTCCCCTCCAAAAATTCTGGAAAGGAAGAATTCATGTGAGTTTACAACTGATTATCAAAAGTTGAGCTAAAATTTCAAATGAGTTATGAGTGAGTTGACGATGATACAGACATATCCGTTTCTTAGAGTATGGCTTGAATATCCCTTCAACTCAGATTTTACCTTGAAAATCTCGTTAAAGGCTAAACAAGTTAACTGTTGTTCTAAGTGAGGAGAAGCCATTGTTCAAGAAGCTACTCAATCTTATCCATTCTAGCTCATCCGATCTCCCAACCTCTGTCTGTCTCTCCCTCTCTACGTGTAATTTGCTAATCTTCACGAATTCTTTTTGTTACTCCTCTTTTTATATCTCCATTACCTCTGTTCTTTTCGAGATAAGAAGATAAAGATTGGTGGAGAAAGAGAGAGAAAGTAGAGGAGAGAGAGAATGAGAATGTGAGAAGCTCGATAAAGAGAGTTATCTCTACTTTGAGCAGACCAGAGAGCTGTTGGCAGATTTTGATGGATGAAGACACCTGTCAGCCATTTGATCACACGCGCCTGCCCTCTGCTCCTTCATTTATATTCCCTCGGATAAGAGATAAGAGTGAAAGCTGAGCAAAATATGGATCAATGATGCCTGCAAAGAAAGAGGAAAAAATAGTTGAAAGCGAAGAGAGAAAACGTCATTAATGATATCAGAGAATTGTTTTGTGCTCTGTTAGACGAACAGGTACCGTATAAGAAGATCTTCTATACAAGTAGATTCCTCCTCATCTGATATCAGCAACAACAGAGCTCTACCACGAAACAAAGAATGCTATGAATGCCAACTGACATTACCTTTTCAGTATGCTCATCATCTGATATGATTTTTGGAGTTTCCAACTTCATTCCGAACAACTTCTGTTCCTCCAATAGCAGTAACTCATCAAATAATAATAACAACGAGCACGTTGTCAACAACAACAATAACAACAACAATAATAATAATAACAATAATGTGAAGTTACCTAATGGTAAGTTTTTCTTCATTTCATTCATTTATTGTGAAAAAAGATTATTTTAAAGGAAGAAGTTTAGCTGCCGATCGTAAAAGACCTTATCCATGCAACCTCTGTCCATCTCGATTTGGAAGTAAAATGGAATTGGAGGAACATCAGAACAGCCATACGGGAATGAAACCTTTCGAATGCGATGTGAGTATGCCAAAACCTTTTTTCATCTAGTCTTCTATTCAGGTTTGTAAAGCACGGTTCAATAGACGTTCAACTCTGTGGAATCACAAGAGAATCCATTCTGATGCCAAGCCATTTGTATGTACAGTTTGTCAGATGACGTTCAAATGGAAGAATAGTTTGAAGGTGAGTAGTTCTTTGTCTCATTCTATGAAATATCATTTAACAATCGTTTTCAAGTGTATAATACGCTAACTTGGTAAGTTGTCTGTCGTGTCGTTACATGTTTATCCCTGTGAATGTGATGAGCCATAAGTCGATATGATCAAAACCTTCTTTCAGTGTCACAAAGAGATGCATCTTCGAAAAAACGAATCTTCGGCTCACTTAGACAATGATCTCAGGCAATTGACCTATGCCACTGCTGCGAAAAGAAGATTGGTTAGTCATAATGATATTAAAGCCTCTCATATGCTTGTTTTCAGTTACAAGAGCAGGAAAATGGAGGAAACACGGCTACATCATGTTCGAGTTCCATTCATAGTCAACCGCTCATCACGACAACAACGCCGAAAAAGAAAACAAAAGTGAGTTTCATTTCTGATGAAGCTTTACGCGTGAGCGGTTGTACTCGTTCATTCTCTAATATTCTTACTCATGTTACTCTTTACAGTCCTCTACGCACAATAGTTTGTCGAATGTTCATGCCAATAATATTCAGCAACCTCTACAAGCTGTAAGTCGGATGAATCAATGATTCTTGAAATTATATGTTTTCAGAGCGCTTTGATCCCTCCTTCTGATCATACCCTTGATATAGATTCATCTTCGTTAGACACTCTTGTTGGAGGACATCAAGGAAATTTGTTCCTCCATATGTATGGGTAAGAACTATCAATTGAGATAACAGACATTACATTTGTCTTTTAAGAGATGTGCCGATCCTTGGTGAGGTTGATTCCCGTCATCCCATGCTGTCAGGCTTAGATGATCCATCCATGCTTAGCTCTCAAATTAACTCAGACAAATCTGATGTGAGTACTTTGTTTTACAGATCAATCCCTTATCAAAAGATATTTCTAAAAAAACCTCAAATTTTAAGTTGTTTCAGTCTCCGATGGGAACAGCAGCTCCTATCAATGTACATTTGCCCATGCAGATAAATATGTTCAATTTCCGACCGGTTCAGCCTCAACTTGTGAGTAAACGTTCAAGTAGCGCATGAGTATATGATTCCATTTCAGCCATCAGTTCATCATTTAACATCTACCTCATTGTCCTTAGATTATGGTGGACAACAAACAGAAAATAACTTGAGTCATCCACAGTATATAGTGGCAACTCAGCCAGACATGATGATCTCTCAACACAGTCTTGGATATCCACAACAAGTAGTTTTGTCAATGAGCAACTTATGGTTATAAAACATTAATTTAAGTTGGACCAATGTGTTAACTCCATTCTCGTAGCTGGACAGGATTATGTGCCCAACTTCGATTATCAGATGCTGTCAAGTAACTACCAAATGCAGCAATCAGAAGTTGATGAGCAACAGTCTCAACAAACCGTTCCACCACAAAACTCCGATGAACTCATAGATGAAAAGTCCTTGCCATATGAGCAGTGGTAAATCACTGCATAATCGTGTAAAATATAATTATGGATAGCTCAAGCATCATTTCTTATGTTGTTGAAGACTCATCTTCCTCTCAAAACGTTAGCCATCATCTTTCAAAGCCGTGACTAATCCATAAATTAAGTATGCCATTGATGTTCTTATCAAATTCTCCAAACAAAACCGATCATAATGGATCTCCCATTTCCATTGGTTAAATATATATGTATATTAGAAGTTGTTCGTTTGTTTTATAATTTCCGCTATCAATCTTTCGGATGTATTCTGGTGCCTAAATCTGAGCCATATGTTCATCAATGACGACCCCCATTTCGGGTCCTATTCTAGCCTTTCACATTTCTTAATTGCCGTTGTCAATTTCTCAACTTCTTTCTTAATTATAATTATATATATCTATATATATAATATATATATAAGAGAATTTTAATTATGTATATGTACATTAGTATTGTGTTAATTATATTTTATATTGTCCATGTCTTCGTTTAAGAAGATATTCCCAGTCGTTTCCGGAAATCATTGTGTTCCCAACATATTCCTTCTTGTCTTGCTCAACTTATCATTACTTCTTAAACAAATATAAATACATTACAATATATATTATGTGTATAATCTATATACAATGATCATATTTGGATATTCAAATTCAGTTAGACAAACTCATGTCTTACTTCTCATATGATACATAGTAATTGACGAAACATGATAACACTCCACATATAAGATTATACCTTCAATTCTTTGAAGAGAACGGAGAGATGAAGATGATACATATTATCAATGACACAAGCAACTACTTATTACGTCTTTCTGTTACTAAATGGCTACACGTGGATGAGATGATATGTGAATTGAAAAAGAAAATTGTACCTTCACTCATAAAATTCTCAGATCAAATCTACATTTGAACTCAGAAGTCTCAATGAACGAAGACAGAAAGCTATAAAATTAAAACCAATCTGATTTACAGTTTTCTCATCATTAACCATAGTTAATTGAAGGAAGAGAGAGAGAGAGAGAGGGGTAGAGAGGAAGAGAGAGAGAGAGAGAGGAGCTGAATTGGATTTCTTTGTTTATTCGCTATTAGAATAATTCTTAGGCATAAGTGGAAAATATTGAGAATTAAAAACGAAAAACATTATTTCCACATATTTTTCAAATCTTTGAAATGATTTTTAGTTGTGTCGTGTGCAGATAACGGAGAAATTGATCTAGTGAAGCCATCTTTTAGTCGTTGGTATGTTCGATGGTGGGAGAAGAGATATGAATAGAGAACCATTCGATAGATGGAAGCTGGCTGAAAAGGAAGCACATGTTCTCGTGAGGAGAGAGTCGAACTTTACCAAATCAACCGTGACTTGTAGCATTCCAAGTTTACCAGGTGATTGTGGAGGCCCCAAAATGAAAAAGACGTAGAAGAAGAAGACTAATTGAACGAGCTGAAACAGAAACAAGAATTGAAGTGAAAAACTATGTCTAACCGTATGAATGATTTGAATTATTGTAGCCGGAAGTATATATTTCGTTGTTCGGACATTCTCTTGAATCTGATAGCGATCAGATAACTTAAGCATGGATTGATGTCTATTGTCGTATTTATACTTATTATAGTATAAAAGAGCAAAAACTATCTGCAAAAATGATTTCATGTATTGCAAGAGATCTAAGCTTTCAGACCATCGTTTCAAATAGGATCGTTGAACTTTCGATGATGAAACTAGTGAAGCCTGAAAAAGAGGGCAATGAAGTTTGAAAATAGAAATGAGGAACCCAATGGATGATATGCTGTGTACAGAAAGCTGCATGCGACGATTGTCTTGAAAGGAATGCTTTATGACGTCAGATTTTATCTTTCACTTACTAAGATACTCAATACACAGATCAAGCAGTTAATTTTCTTTGATAACTTCTCATAGCTTGAAGTGAAGTAAGAAGCTACCATACGCTCATAGACTAAGGAAATGAAAGATACTTGAGCGATTGTTTTCCCGAATGTGTCCGTACCCATATATCCTTGCTGAAATCACAAAAGAGTCACTTGAAGTTTACAGAAGGAAAGATACAAATTCATTCAAATCAGCCCTATTAGCTATGCCTGCCATGGTCAGTACAAGGGTGTAGGTTCGATTGAGGGTTACCAGCAAATCTCCCAAACATAACATAAGAATATTACATCTGAAAGTGAGTAGGTTGAGAGAGGAAAGCGAAAGAAGAAATTACCGAAAATTGATATTAGTAGCTCCTCTTATGAAAATAAAACAGATCAAAGCCATAATTAACAAAGTACTTATCACATTGAAAGCTGCTTCAATTGAGAAAAAGACATATTTCAGAGAATGCAACTGGGTGTTGTTCATCTGAAAGAAATAAGAAGAAGAATAAGAAGAAGAAGAAAGAGAAGGAACGAAAAAAGAAAATTTCCTTCGCTGGCTCAGCCAGATGCAGCCATTGGCAACGATTAAATATAATTATCATATGAAATATTTATATAATAATTGCGTTTTATGAATGAAATCCTTTATCAGATAATTTAAAAAAATGTTTTTCATTCTCTCTTTCTCCATCTCTCTCTCTCTCTCTCCCTCCCTCTGATACTCTCTCAAACTACCTCAATCTCTATTATCACATATTTTATATGAAATTAATAACAATAATAATAATATATAATTCGTCTATATACATGTACAAGACAATCAGCAGATCTCTTCTTCTCTCATCAGCGCCACATCTCATTCAAACTTTGGAAGTAATTCTTAGTTGTTTGTGTCGCATTTCCGACATCAACGACATTACGTTGTTTTGATTTGTTGTAATCAGGATTTGCATAGACCAGGTAAATGCCAAATATGGCCCGATAAACAGCTATTGACTGCAATTACCAAACTCAATTGAATGAAAAAAGGAAAGCAGTCGAACTATGTTGTAAGCATGAGTGATGTAGCCAGTATCATATCCTAGTGGGATGTCCGTGAAGAACACTGAATACACTAACAGTCCAGTTCGAACAGACTGTAACAAATAGGTTATTTCGGTGAAATTATTCGAAAAAAATATATTTTTATGCACATACTATATGAATGAGCTTTGTTACAAACATAGGTAGAATATATGAGGTTGCACTAATGTTTTCTTGAATTTGAAAACGGTCGGAGAGATTTAATTGGTGCAAATGACGATTCTCATGTCTCTTCTTATTGGATTGAATCAGAATGATGAGAATCTTGAAAGAGAGCATGATTAATGATCACTAAAACTGTTTAGTTCGTACTACTATCTCAGCCACTATCAGTACGGCTTGTAGAATGAGAAACTCCAACCCTAAGCTATTCGTTCATGTCTGTTACATATCACAACATCTCACCTGTGTTATCCATAATGACATAACAAATGGCAAAGATGAATATCATCTAAAAAAGAGAAATGATAACAGCTTTCTTGTGAATTCGATTACCCCTGAGGCTATTATAGAAATGCTATAATTCATTTCTCGAGTGAACCTTTCATACTGGGAAACGAGAACGGTAGCCACTAGTCGTTCGATAATAAGAAAGAGCCAACTAAACACTTCCAAAATGTTTCCAAAGTTCTGCGAGTAACGAAGAATACTAAAAGCCTGAGGAAAGAGGTACATCGCTTGGGAAAGAAGCTTCGCATACTGTTAGAAGTCTTGGATCATTCCCTACGACAACCAATCTGATGATTATTGATATTGTTTGTTGGAAGTTCATTACGAAATTGCCGAGGTTAATCATTTGAACAGATATCCTAAAGCAGGATCTGTCAGAAAAGAGGATGGGAGAACTACCTGAAGTTTAGATTCCAAGATGACTTGGTGGTAAAAGAATTCAGGAAAATCAAAAAAGCAAATGGGTAATACATAAAGGAAATGATTAATGTAAGTGAATATAAGATGTAGTGAAGGGTTTCCATGGCTGAAACATAGGCATTGGGTAACGTTCCTATCACATACACTTAAGCAAAGAACAGAAGACGAAAGAGTATCCGAGTTTTTCAATTATTTCTGTAACTTCATGAAGTGTGGAGAAAACGAAATTAGCGCAGAACATAAGCATAAGTTTGAAATAACAGGAAGCTGTGTGATAGTCTTCAGAGCTATTGTATCCGCTCAAAACGTTTTTCAATCGTATCTACCATCAATTTGGTTTCTTTTTGTTGAGTTTTATCGTTCAACTGAACTTTTCTTCATAAGAATACTTGTTGTATGATAATTGTCGGAGGGAAAGGTGGGGGTAAGACAGTCAAGAGTCCACCGCAGGTGTATAGAGAGGCAAGGAGACATAGACAAACAGAGAGAGAGGGGAATAGGAAAGGGAATATACAAAAAAGGTAGAGAAAGATGAGATTATAAGCGATTGTCATTCTTCAAACCAAAAATCAATTTATTCCCATTGTTTTTGCAAATTTTCAAAATGATTCAAAGTTCTATCAGTGATTTCAGAATCCATCTTTGTTCCTCGTCCCTTCTTCTTAACAAACGGGCAATTAGAATTCGTTAGAACGAGGTAAACACAGAATGCGATTCTATACGCGGCTGAAGACTGAAACGGAAAATATTGTGGTATAGGAATGAATTTTAATTAGCCCAGATGCTAATTTGAGAGAGCTCACATTGTCATACACGTGACTTATATGAGAAGTGTCTCGTCCCATGGGACCTCCATAGAAATATGAGTAAGTGTAAAGCAGTAAGCGACAAATCTAATACATTAAAAGGTTATCATTGAGGTATCTATCCATCTATTACCGTGTATACTATCTTGAATACGACTACTGGCAGAATATATAACGAAGATGATATGATCTCTTGTATTTGAAACCTCGAGCTCAGCTCCAAGCCTTGAGCATGACGGTTAACATAAGCTTTCTTGTTCACAATCATTATGATTGAAATGGACTTAAAGTGTAGTTCAAAGAAGAATTCTAAATTATTTTCTCTCTCACCGTAATTGTAAAAATTACTAGAATGGACTGAACCACTAGATAGTTAAGAGCATCAAGATTTACTTCAATCATCATACTTATAGAGCTCTCCTTGGGAAACAAACCTATTCCAGAAGTCACTATGATGCTTATGAAGAGAGCTGGTGAGAACTGAAACAGATGATTAGAAATGATTAAAGACCTTTCAAGCTAAATTGCCATCAATGTATCTTTCACAACGACAACACTTTTGACTTTGATTATGTAATCAGCGAGACTATCGAACATTTGCTATTTTTGAGCAAAAAAACTATCAGAGCAAAATAGATTCTTCTATCAATTCGGAAAGTATAGAAGAACTTACAACAACAACCACAATACAGGATGGCCATACAAAAGAAGCCGATAGCTTTTCATATGTATCGATGAAGGTAGATGCAATTGTTCTCTCGACTATGAGGACAATCCAAGAATTAGTTTCTATCCAGAAAGCAAAAAAATGAAAAAAGTCGGTATAGTTAAGCTGTAAGATGATGATGATGTGCAGTACAAGAGATAGATTTACAATATAAGCATCTTGAGAGTTATCGATACAACAGAAACGAGCGAAGAGAATTGTTGAGCGATTGAAGACGTGAATGATGTTCGCTAAGTTCAAAGTGGTCATGACGATTCTGAAAGAATTCCAAATAAGGATTGAATATGAAAATCAAAAACCTGAAATTAGTATGTAACTGTTGATGTGCTAATAGATAATAGAATAAAACAAGTGAAAACGGTAGCGTGAGTCCATTGAGTAGCGCCTCTGTGGAGTAGAAGATGTAATTCAGAGAATCGAACTGCATATTGAATGCATACATCTGAGAAGAGAATTTTTTTCATCAATTGGAGTTTCCGAGGAAAAACCGTCGAACGAAATAAACAGTTTTCAAAGAACAGAGTGATTTTTTAAAACAAAGTTACAATGAGAGGGGGAATTGGAGAGTATTCGACGTGCTGAGTCACCCAAGCAACATCTATCTATATAATTATAATAATTAGGAAAAGCGGACTGCATTCTTATAGAAAAATCATTTGTTGGTACAATATGACCATAAGGGATTGAATCAGCTTTCATTAGGCGGAGCTTCAATTCAATTCTTCCTTCTCTGTTAGTATTGAAGTCTGTAACTTCAAAATCACAAAATCTCGTCAGCCTTTGTCTCAATTACCCACATTTTTATTAATTGATTGTCTAATTATTACTTTAATACTATTCAATAACATTTTCAACGGAATGAGGCAAGCAATTCTTTCCAGAGATCATTTTTGACTGATATTACTCGTATTATCTTCGTCTTCTTCTTGTATGGTTATGGAAACGCATGGATGTTCCTTGGCGATGGTTGTTGATCCTTTCCTCACGTCACGTGGGTTTGGTCTCAATCGGTTGTATGGATGGAAGTCTTCTTGGAAGGAACCATCGCTCTGTTAAATCGAATTTCATCTCTATTCACATCAGCAAGTTACCGAATGACTGTCACTACGAGCTAATTCCGTTACATTAGCAATGGAGTTGGAGGTTTTCTTGGGAGGTTCAATTATTCTGTCTGCAAAAGCTGAATTATGATTTGATTCGATGTAGTTTGAATGCAATTCTTCATCCCAATCATCAAGTCCACGTGATAAACCGTACGTCAAATAATTTCCATCATTTTGCAATGCAAATGAGGGGAGAACGGTTGTGTTGTCTACTTTCATCTGTCTGCTACTACTTCTACTCTTTTCTCTTCTACTCTACCTTCTATTGAAATACCTCTAATATTCAAATTTCCAGTAGACGATGCAACAGCTTTTGCAGCACCAGCTGCTGCAACTTTCTGACTGTTTTTCGCACCAAGATAGCTAAGCCAAATAGGTATTGAAGCAATTATTAAGTGTTGTTTACTTGGATAATTTGCGTATAGACTCTTTAAGAAGAGGCTGCTCGACTCCATTTTCTTCCACATCCGTCATAAACTTCATTCGAGTTGGTCTCAAGCTGGAAATGAATTTGCATTGGCAGAGTAAGCTATTATTCTATCATACATGACGTGACTGACAGATTCACGAAGCTGATTATTTGGAAGTTTAGCTGCATCTTCGGAATACAGAGGACTCATCTTTTCGTTCCAAATGTCTTTTGATAGCGTGGGACAAGTTGCATATGAATGAACAGCAGCATCCATCCCAACCTGATCATGTCAAATAGGAGAAGCTCAAACACTACTTACTGCTAAATTTCGATCAATCAATCGATTGGTTTCAAAATCATCATCGTCTTCTCCAAATGGGTTCAACATCACCTCCGCAATCTACAAAATTTTAAATAGTTTGGCAATAGAAAGAGATTACCTTCATCCACCCCATATAAAAAATGAATTGCAGAACGCCATTGAGAGGAAAGTAGATGTCAACCTAGAAAAATTATGGAGTTAATGCACAGTTATGATCATAGAGTTGGAACTTGTTTTGGAGATGCTCGTTCTGGAACAACAAACTGTTCGGCGACAACGCTTAGAAGGAAAAATGTATGAACGGCCATGCAAATGAGTTGAGGGTACACTTGGGGTATTGGAACCATGTCGTACATCACCAACTTTGCCAAGTTCGACCGAAATGCGGCTACATCCTTTGGCAGATTTTTTTATTTCTAATTCCACAATAAAGCCATACTTCACTTAGCTGACACTGATAGTAGTCACTCTCAATGTAACCTCGTTGGCGAGCTTCATAGATTAAGGTCAAGGCCCATTGCATGAACATCCAATTCTTACCATACTTGAACTTTTGAGATTCCCATACTTCTTTTTCGCGAGTCAACAGAAACCCTACAAAAAATGAAACGATGATCGGCTCAACTCTACACTTGATTACCGGCTTCCACAACTGAGTCTACTGTAGGGAACCTACGTCTTACTCTCATAGAAATATCTCGGAAGTACATAACTTGCGATAGTACGGAATATCTGTAACCAATCCATAGACGATCTGATTCTCTTAACCAACCTTATGATGGTGCGGCGGTACATAACAGCTTCCTCAGACAAACCTCTTATGTATACTGATGTCTTCAAAGCCAAACTGTAAGGAAGTTACTGAAGATCGAAGGAAAAACAACTGTCTCAACTTATCTACAAAACCTATCATTCCATACATAGAAAGCCAGCGGTTCAATACAGCAGTTACAAAAAATCCCAGCATGAAGCTCAACGGTATGTAAGTCAAGGCATCATCACAGTAGGCTATAGCCTTTTCGAACCTTCTGGAATTAAAAAAAGTTGAGGAGAGGGATACTTTGAAATCTAACATCTTGCCCACGTCTCCCAAAGCGAATCTATATATAAAATTGAGAATATAAAATAACAGAAGCCAGACTATTAGTTCGACAATGATACTTTTCCATATACTACCTTTCCATTTGAAGAGAAGCTTGAATAAGGTCCAAGGTCGGGATGTTGAAACAGACAAGTTGTAATTAATAGACATCTGAAACAAAATCTGAGTGGTTCATGAAAGTTCGTTAAACACGATGAGGTAAAACAAAGACAGAATGGGTATGTTGACATAGATTTCCGGTTTGCGGAACAGTGAACTGTCCGGTCTTGGAAAACTATCATCGGATTGTTCCTAATAGGGTACAATAACTTTGTGACTTGGTTGAGATTTAATAAAAAGGATAAAGGCAGTCAGAAGTATCATTCTGCCATACTGTGTTGATGGTCTTTAAAAATGATTGAATTGCCTGTTACGTTAGAGTATCGTGCAACCATCTATTTCTGAGAAGAATGCCGAGTCGGGCACAGTCGTGTACTAGTCAGTTCTTCAAATAAGGAACGTCAACCTAAGCAGGGAAAACGAAAAACCTCTAAGTTTCTATTTCCTTCCGTAATTTAGAGAAACCTCCAAAAATATAAATAGCCATATGTATATATGGACAGATGGGAAAAAGAGCGAGAGATCAAAGTAGTGTCAACGGTTGTTGACAGAACAATCTTACCATAGACTGCCATCTATTCATTTGAACGCCTAAGTTATGATTTTAAACATCAAACACGGCAAAGAAGAAACATCGTCTTACATGTTTGGTTTGTTCGGCAGATAATTTTCAGCCATTTAGCATTCTATTCTTTTGAGGTTTACTTTCCTTCTCTACAATAGTTTGTCTAACAGAACGAAAAGGCACAAATCAATTTGCAAGGCCAATAGCACAACTATATGAAGCAAAGACAAGAAGCAGCATAGTGCCATTAGGCAACTCTTTTTCGAACGACAATCAACTTCATAACACTATATGTACATATGTGTGTATATACTATGATGTCCATAGTTTCCTCGATTCTAAGCTGTGCACAACAATGACTTGTGTTTTCAACTTTCACACATCATATGGGAAACGGTTCTTCGAAAAGCTTCGTTCTCAACGATGTCCAATCCTTTCCGGATATGCGTGAACTCATCCTCTTCTTTCATATAACATTCGAATCTACCTGAATGAAGTCGTGACCATTGAAATCTTCAGAACAAATATTTGAGAAATCCAGCATAGCATTCCAATTCCGTGCAGTTACTAGTTATATCCACTAAGTTGAATGAAATTCCTTTTCTTTCAGAAACATATCTTCAAATATCCACATCGTTCTCTGAGATTGTTCAAATGGACCCATTGGGAAACTCTGAACATCTTTCTCTTTCAAATTCGTGAAGTTCTTGTAAGAGAGTATTTTGACCATCTATTCACTTAAGTATTCACGTAATCTCGTGTGTAAACTATTGCAGAGTATGAGTCAAATATAATTTCAGACACATTATTCTTCTTCTGTACGTCATTCAGACTACTATGTTTTCTTTACTTCTAATAACTTGTTACATCGTTCTGACAGGTGTTTTCTGTTTCATTGCTTTGTCTCATTTTATTATCACAGAAGCTTGTTCCAACTATCCATCTATAGGAGTTGGATCTTCAGATGTTCTACAACCCCGAGCTCGTGGTCAAAGTACTCATTTAGGTAAAATTCCACAGTACTTTCCAATTAGTTCTTACTTTTCTAATTTTGTAGTAGCAAATAAGCCGTCGACAATTGTGTCTTCCACGGATTTGAATTGTTATGATTTCGATGATTCTTGCCGATGGAAGAACATGGAAGGATTGTTCGTAGATGAACTAGACTGGTTTCAGGTATACCCTCCCTACCAACTAATTTGAGTACGGAATCTTTTTAGGGTTCTGGGATAATTGATCAGCAACGGCTATTAGTTGCTACCGGGGCTAGTACTTTCCCAGGTAAAATAGCATCGGGAAAATGCTTCAAAAGAAATAATTTTTAAGAAGGAATGTATGCAATAGTCGGAACTGATACTGCTCAGTTACCAACTGCTAAAGCTGTTTTTGTAAGCGACGTAATAGGATGTCAACGTGGTCCTGGGCAATTGTCCTTCTTGTATTGTATTTTGTTACTACTACTCTAATTGTTTTATTTCATCAGATATTGGACAACTCCTGATGTCCGGCTGAAAGTTTGCGCAAAAACTTCCACGAGAATATTCCCGGACTTCTCGTACTGTAGTGCTATGATCGAAGGAGGAGACCCAGGACCCACGGAAATCGCGATCCCAGAGCAAGAGGGATCGTTTCAAGTGCTGAGAACTATTTGATTGTTTTAGTGATTTGTTATGCTTTCAGATATACATCATTGCCGATAACTTTGTGTTTAGTGCTTTCAACATGCAAGGAGGGTTTGCAATAATTGATAACCTTGAATACGAGGCAGAGCTATGTGAGGATATTGAGAAACAGCCCGTAAGTTGAAGTATTCAAGATGAGTTGATATAATTCCAAGTTTTGTAGTTAAATAACGCTTTCGATTCCTTCCCAAGTGGCGAACCCCTATTTCCGAGTTTACCAGTGAAACCAATCGATGTTGATACAACTCCCAAGCCTTTCATTGCGGTATTGTGAAGTCTTCAGTAGTAATGAAGATTGTTCGATATAGATTAAGTTTGGCAAAACACCAAATCCTACATTGATTCCTGAGGAAGCAGTGAACATGACACCAGCTGCTAACCATGACTCGTTCTTGAATCCAGCTGTGATACATCGAGATGTTACTACAAGTATGGTGGCAGCTTGTGAAGCTCTGACTTGCTCATTCAATAGCTCACAAACTTGTGTACAGTACGTTTTCCTATTCGTCCTGGATTTGAACTGGTTTTCAAGATTCGCTGTTACATCTTCCTGGATGGTTTCTCGAAGACCTGTTGGAAACCCACTGACTGGTATTAGAGGAGATGCTTCAGACTTACCATTCAACAAAGGTAGCACATCATTCATTTCTGTTCAGCACCGAGTTTAGATGGGTCGTTTGCTTTCATAAATGGACCAACAAAGTTCTCAAGGCTCATAACTCCACCATTCTATCTGGACAGGAATGCTCTGTTCGTCTTCTCATATCATAAGGTCGGGTGAATAGCCGAACAGAAGTTAATTCGTTTACAGGTTGATAAGAACTCGATGTTCCGTTTGCTTGCCAAGCGATCGGATAGCAGCCAAGAAAGTTTGTTATTCGAAGTAAGTAAAAATCATGAGAAGCTACCCATGATATAGATAGAACTAATTGACTTTTCTATTTCAAGGCACCACAGATTAATAAGGAATCTCGAAGATGGTTCCGCGAAGGACGTGACCTGTTACGTGGCCAATATGATTATGTTTAAAATTGATCTGAAAATATAGTTTTATTTAAAGATATTACAGATAGCTTTTGAAGTTCAGAATCTGGCTGTTAATAACTACATGGGAGTGGATGAATGGATGATTGTCGATGAAGGAAGAAGAGCCTTCTGTCAATCAAGCAAGAAAAGCTAAGAAACTAAACGATTGTTAAAGGATCATTCCGTGAAGAGCTCTAGGAACTCCATTTTTGGGTTTTCAAATTGTTATTTGTATTTACATTGTTTTTTCTATTTATTTCAAAGATATTTGCTCGGCTGCCAACCGCTTTCCTTCATTCCTCATTGTACAACATAAACCTCATGTTTACTTTTAAAAACTACCGTAAACATTAAGACTTTGTTCTCTGAAGTCATCAAACATTTAGAAATCAGAGAGATCAATCAATTTGGCTTCAAGACTTCTCCACTCGAATATCTCCAACAACTACTCTCTGACATTAGACGGCTTTCTTCCTCATTTAGACCATTTCTCTAATTAGGAAGAATCTGTTATCATCTGGTTACTCAATTGTGTTTTGTGGGATACCATGTAAATCTCGTGTGGGTGATAAACAAGATCTAACATGATGATTGTTGTTCCAAGAATCTCCCAATACTCAACCTGAACAATAAAGTCGTATTGGTTTTTGTGAGGGCTTCTAGTTGTGCCAAAGCAGATGAACGGCAGACAAACTGACGACATGATCCCCATCGTCCTTCCTGTGTCCTTCTGACAATGCCAGATGTATCGCCACATGTTTTGTCGCCTTTTACGATTAGACGTAATAGAAAAGCCAGTAAAGACAACAATTATGGAGTCTTGAAGGTCTTTTTTGAATCGTTACCGAAATTGCCAAAAACAAAAGGACTTGAGCCTCTTCATGGTTAGTACTCAAGTACTGATGAGTTAATCAGTGCTTTTATCTCTAATGGCTAAACATCAGCCATGTTCAAAAAATAAATGAGTTGTTGCGAAAAGTTTTAAAACGAAATTTGATCTTCACTACGACATTCACCTAGTTTGGAGATCAAACCGACCTATATAATAGTTATTGTGGCATGATTCGGATTACGTAAACGATAACGAGGAGATGAGGATGACAATCACCCAAAAATTCTGTCGTTCAGAAGTCTTCGATAACCATGTTCAGAAACAAATAGATATGGTTTGAGAGAACCATAGAGATACAGAAAGAACGACAGACGAAATTAACTCTCTCCGAGTGGAAAGAGACGGATGGAAAACAAAAACAAAAAACGAAAGATATTTATGAGACAGATGCTGATACTCATGCAGCTTTATCTTGGAAAAGAAACTTCATGAGACTTAATCTTGATTTGACCTAAATTAAACAAACAAGCGAACAAAGAGTAGTTCTGAAGATGTTGTGCCATGTACTGTCCGTTGACCCATAAAAACGTGCCAGGTTCGAAGCCGTATTGCCTTATATGTTGATGTCCTTTTCGAGGACAAACACAACATGACAATGTCGGCAATTTAAAGTTTACAACATCAACAAAATTTGAAATTATTTTTTTAAATGGGTCATGGGTAAGATATTTAAAATAATAAGTTGAATATGATATGAAGCATGATGACGAAGATGAGTGATGGAAGCAGAAGTAAGGTCCCATTGTAACTTCTTTACATTATCATCCATTTCATGGTCTGGTCAGTGTACAGAGGAGATGTGCAAGATCATCTGAAAACCTCTCATTCCCTATACTCCACCACTTCATCAAAATTGACAAAGATCTCTTAAGCGACGAAAGCAAGACTGAATAAACTATGAATAGAAAAAATACTGTACTTTTAAAAGTTCCAGCTGTGAGATGGAAAATGTCACAAGGTCATACCGATGAACATGTTAGAGATAGAGAATAATAGTGAACGAGGTACATTCTAATATAGATACATGTGAGATGATGATGAGCGAAACGAGGATGTACCTCCATTTACTTCCATTTCTCTCTCTTCTAAAACTCTTTCGTTATCGGCTGGCTTTATTTTATCTTTCAATTGCCTCTTTCGATTCGGGACTTGCTTGTGTCAGCCAGTAACATCATCATATGTACCTTTGAACGGCTCACATAATCAAATTTCAGTAATGGAGAGAACAAGACGTTCAATTGATAACCATAATAGGAGATCACTTCAATTGTTGATGAAATGAATGATGATAGATTCTTCTGATAAGATGGTTTAGAAAGTGCAAAAGTACTTGAACTCATTAGGGTTTTTCTCGGTCGAGGTTGAACTTATAACAAACAGTAGTCAATCATTTCCAAAAAAAAAGAAAAATTAGCTACATGCATGTGTTTCAACAGGAACAAGGATAACTGGAGCTCTCCTTCTTCATTGGTTTATAAACATTGAGACGAGAATATGAAACTGATGTTCTCTTCAGTTGTCTTATCAACCTTCTATCAGTTTTGAAATCAGTTTGTTGTATACTGTGAAACCAGAAAGATCTTAACTCAAACGAAATCCTGGATAATGATGTACTGATCCCAAACTTTTTTAGTTTCTGCAGCTTTGGTTTGTTTAAGGCTGACTATCTCTAGGAGGGGTTGTCCTATTGGAAACGAATGAAAATCCGCTCGACCTAGACCCACAGTCTGCATTCGTGTCCGATACGTACTAGGTTGGGCTCGTCAACCCGCCGTTTCGACCTTCTGTTTCACATTTATTCAAAACAATTAGTTATCATAGCTTTATATGTTCAATTTCGATAATACTCTTTCGTTCTCATTTTAAAGTTTCCGAATGTTCTTTCTCCCACTCTTTGCATTACTTTCAGCAGTTTTGTGTTATTTTTAATTCATTAGTGCCAGGTTCAAATGCATTCTCTCTCGAGATGAATGCTTTCTTATTCATGTTATAACATTCTGATTTTTTCATTTCACAAACTACATTAGAAGAGTTTAAGTTTGCGATAGAGTAAACCAGACATACCTCTGAATGTTTGTCTTCTTGTCCTTGACTTAGTTCATTTATCAAGTTCAATTAGGTTAGACTTTTTGAAATTCATCTTTTATTCATTTGAATAAACAGAAGCTTTCATACATATTTCACTCTGACCAAGCTTCACCATTTCTTCAATAAATTCTGAATGTTTGAAAACCTCATTAACTATAACGCTTGAGAAAACACTTCAAACCTTTTTCTTACTTTGATAATCACAGAGACTCACATGGGTTTCTATATCTCTCTACAACAGTTCAATCTATCACCTAAAGCATGCAACTTACATAGTTCATGGGAAACTTAATGAGTTCCTCAGACATCATATCTATCATATCTTTCAAACCCATCTCTATGATATCACAACTTACGTGGGATGAACAGTGGTTCACGTGAAAAAGCCATCTTTCATTTTCAATTGCATAAAAGCATAGAACGGTTGCTTTCTCTCTATATACATACATACGTATACATGTATTCATCTCTCTATCTGTTTCTTTCTCTCTCTCTCTTTGGTGTTCTCTCCTTGGACTCGCTCTTTTTCCTTTCTGAATTTTCTCAAAAACTTCTATCTCTTTTAATCCGTTCTCTTTCTTTTTTTTTTCAAACATCATTCCCTCGACGCTGAACGATCCCTTTCTCCTTTCTAGGTGTTTTCCCTTGTCAGTTCTTAATTGTTAAAATCGAAGTTTGAAATTTCACGTCGAGCAAGCGATTGAAAACATTCTTGATTGGAAACAAAGTGTTCTACTAGTATATACTGTAAGAGTTGAGTAAAGGTTACATTTCAAACACTGAAATAGCATGTGAACCTTGCTCTGAATTCGGAAAGGTGGGAGGCCTTTTCACCGGTAAGCAAAGTCGGTCACTTTCGCCATTTGACCCTTTTCTTGGTCGTGCGAGTGTTTAACGCCGGAGGGCGGATGGATTCAATCCACGAGACGACCTTGAAATCCAAGTGGTCAAAGTGGAAGAAAGGTGGACACCCAGACCTCCTTTTCTCTCTGTTGCCCTCTCTTATACCCTCACTATCCATTTTTGAAAATAGCCTTTACTCAATTTCCTTATTAAACTCATGATGAAGCTTCGCCTTCAATACGATTTATTGTTCGTAATGCCACTCTTACAAAAATTTATTTACTGGATGCTCATTCTGTTTGTTACAGGGTAAAATGCTCGGAGAAGAGCTTCAATCGACGCCAGCTTCATTGGCAGTTCGATGCTCCCTGATCTCATCGACGTCTTCTATTGTCTCTTCGACGTCTTCATCGTCTTTCAAAATATATAAATCTAACTCCGATAGCAGTAGCAATAACTCCACCAATGAAATCGTTCAGCCAACTCCGATTCGACCGATCCCGAGCACAGATGGATTAGCTCTTTATCAGGTAATGAGAATAAGATATCAGAACGAATTCAAATACAAATCCTCAGTTCATCACGTAATCGTTGATGAAATGTCCTTCATTTTGAATTTATTTATAGTTAATCCATATATAGTTTGATAATCTCCTAATTTATAATATAATTCTTCTATTCAGTTATATCTATCCAATCTCGTTCCACACTCCTCATCAAACTATTCCAAACGAGCTTCACCTGTAATAGTGGGTAAAGCTGCTCATTGGGTCAATCCAGCTGAACGTCGTCAAACGTCAAGGTAAAAACAATATGTCATTCAGTCAATATTTCATTGAGCACTATTTCAATATCGTTCTCTAATATATAATTAAAGTCGATTCTTCGTTATGGACCATAATTTCTAAGCTTTCTGCTAAGCAGTGTGACCCACGTGGTTACGTGAAAAATGTTTATTCGGCGCATAAAGTCATTTCTAATGAGCAACAAACGCGTACGGTCGTTCTCTTTTTTTAAAAATCAATAGAACTAATATTTATGATGTTTGAAACTATTCTTTTGAGAAAATTTTTTTCAGTCCAGAAGTCCACAGTACAACATCTCCTGAGCCAAGCGGATCCTCTATCAAACAGAAATCCAAATGGCTATCTCACTATTCAACCGAATTCGAATCGCAACGGAATAATATCGATGAAGATGATCAAGAGGTAAGTTCTTTTGTTTATTTTTCTTCTTTCTGAATATATTAAACCTTCATATATTCAGATTGTTGATTCATCTGTGTGTGCAATTTGTTCGGATAGATCATCTGGTCTTCATTATGGGATTTATACATGTGAAGGGTATGTTTCAGCTTTTACATTTTTTCTTTTGTTGTCGTTTCCTCTCCAGTTTTTCAATTTTTTCTGTTTCGAGTAGCTTCTGCCTCTTCACCACGAATTAATCCCTTATCTAAAGATACTTGAGAAAATTTTGTGTTCATAAGGCCGATTTTTGTTTTTTCAAAATCTCAGACTTTGCCAGTCAGAGTAATCTCAGTTCGTTCTCTTATCGCACAGAGAAGATTCTGAGTTACTCTTACCAGTGTGAAAGAGCGCTTCTATGTTACTTCAACTTATGATCTGATTCTGTAGTAAAATGAGGTTTTACGTGATAGATCGGCACGCGTCGACCTTGCTGGTTGTGGTCATTTCAACCAACTGACCTCAATTTCATCAAACTGCATTTTTCTCTTTCGCTTTATTCGCTTCTCCATCTTTGAATTCTACTCTTTTCCTGATTCTCTTGCAGTTGAACTCTGAATAACCTCTACTTCCCTCCGTTGCTTCAGCGCTTCAGAGGAGTGCATATAACCTGAGAAAGAGCGTTTATTGCCACCTTCCGGTATTCGATACTTTGTTTTTTCTACAAGAATACTGATTCAAGTGATATTGTACTAATGGCTTCTGGAGATGATTTGTGACGCCTCTAATGGCTGATGACACGACCTCTAAAATGGAAACCGAAACGTCTTCTGATCATTTATGAACGAACATACTTTTGACAATAATATTATTGAAAAAAGAAAAAATGAAGAAGCTTATTTCTTATTCAGGGAATAATTCACTTCTTCTGATTGTTTTTTCTCTTTCCCTCTCTCTCTATCCTTAAATACTGTTATCATGTATGATGATGGCATCAGAAGTAAGAATAGAAGAAGAGAATTGTCTGAACAATTTCTTTGTGTTCATTCAATACATTCAAGTTGTAACTGCATCAAATGGCACTGCCAATTCTGCTTTTTGACGACAATGACGACGATGATGCTTTCTATCAATTTTCGTTCTCCTCCTTTCCTCTGCTTGTCGGTTGTAATGTTATTGCTGTGACGTTGTCCGCATCTCCACTTTTTGTTTGAAACATTCAAAGTTAACATTAGCTTCTGAATGTCTATAATGAATTAATGAAGAGTTGTCCATCTTTCTCAACATCATCGTTCCCTTCGACTAGATTCATTCAAGCCTATCTCCTCATACTCTTACCTTTCGCCAACTCTCATTGCTGACTGTTCATACCATACTTCCTCTTAACACTCTCATTACTTCACAAGACACCCAAATATAAGTTTTCAATTTAATGAGAAAGAAAATTATATATTTATGTAACAAAGTCTTATGAATGGCAGGTTTTCAACGTCTCTCGTTCTAGTTCTGTCTGTGATAGCCAGTAAAACAGGACTGTCATCAAGTTGAATGTGCCAAGAAAGTTAGAAGTAACTGACGACATCACACCTTTTTGCTATCAAAGAAGTTATTTTTCTCAATTTCTCACGGGTAAATGCTTAAGATTCTTTCATCTTTTCTGTAAGAAATCTTGAAATGTTCTGAATTTCGCAAACATCAGCTTACTACTGACCAATCCTCTCCAACCTCTTTCACTCATCCTTGTTGTTTGATAGATCATTAAAAACTTTTTGATTATTCAAATATCTAGTCTTCTACTAACTCACTTTCTACCGTAGAAATAGAATATCAAGAGTATGTCGTTGCGAATATGGGGCGGAGAAGGACGAAACGACCTTTGTGTCAGCCGCACCACATACGTCCACTCGAGAACTCGACGACGTTAGACATCTGACGACGTTAGAGGTAGTATGAAACGTTTTTCGTTGTTCGTCGTTTCATTCATTCTCTCGGTACGGTTGTCTTCAAACTAACTCCTTCATATTCGCTCAACTATCTTATTCCTATCATCGTTGTCATATGAGTTTACATTCTCTCTTTACATCTCCTTGTGAGCTTGTTACCTTTTCCTCCTTAGTCTTACATGAACGCTTCATAATGTTAGCTGTTTGATTCCTTTTTTCATTTTTGTTATCCTACCTGTCTTCTGATCATAGACGTTTCGCGTGCCAAGGGGTGCCTTGACCTCAACGTTATCAAACGTAACTTAACCATTATCCGTTTGTACCCAACTGTAAACCTTACATGAGTTTTATTCCTCTCGCTCTTAAAGTAAGAAATAGAATTTTTCAAGCAATATGCAAGTCATTTTCAAATCATAAATTTGGGTCATTTCCACCAAGTTTACCTTGGCGGTAGAGCCTCATGGCACCGTCTGTTACTCGGTCACGTCCATCAGGCTGGTTGCGACGGCCTAGTAGTTGTGTCCTCGGGCGACCTTCTGACCTTATCTGGGTGGCCTAATATGGGTCGAATGGCACGAGAGACACATCTTGAAAAGAGAACTTTAAGTTTATATAGGAAGTTACGAGTCTATGGGGAGTAAGAGAGAGAGAGAAAGAAAGAGAGAAGGAGAGAGAGGACTAGAAGGGAGCAGACACTGATCGTATGCCCTGAAGGAAGGAAAGGATAACCTTCACACACATTTAGGAGAAATATTTGGTTCTTATATTTTACTTGTAAAATCAAAGACCGAAGTGTCCTTTCCAATATTATATTCAGAAACTATTGATATTTCTAATCATTCTACTATTGTAAAAACATTGGGCACTCATTAGATGTGAAGGCCATCCTATTCAGAAGAAACTTCTGTAAGAACCATTTTAGTGATTCAGTGACCAGACTGTTCGGTACGAAGAAGTTTTGCAGTAGTGTTCTCTCTGCAGCTCATTCGCTCTTGCTGATGAAAGAAATGAGTTCGATAGATCGTCAAGCAGTTTAGATGTACTTGAGGGTCATGATTGTCCTCGTTGTCCTCATTTAACCCTCACCGTGCCGGCTGGTCTACAGCAGTACCATCCCAATCAGTAACATGCCTATAGTCACCGCACAAATTTAGACCTTCAGATGCACATTGTCGTTGTCGTCATAGATATGGTTTGAAATAGTGAAGAAAAAGAGACTAGAAAGATAACAAAGTGAATGAAGAAATAATATAAAATAGAGAGAAACGATAGATTATTCTCAGAGGAACAATTAATGTAGTTGCAGAGTAAGGTCATCATCATCTACTTGCTATGACCTTTCGTATGCGCAGCCGACGGCTGGTCCTATGCTTACCCATTTCTAAAAAAATATTCCATTCGAAACTATTTGCGAGAATACTGAACATTCTCATCTCCAACAATAGTCGTCTCTCTATTCCACAGATACATTAACACCGCTGACACACTTTCAGTCCATAATCCCAGACTTTATCACTCTCCCTTTCATCCCCCCCCCCACATGGAGATTTATATTTTTTCCAATTAATCACTATTCTCTTTAACTGTGCGTAGAGCTTCTACTCTATCAGTCTACCAAATGATCAGTACCAACCCTACCGTCATGCAATTCATTTTCGACCTTGATAATTTTGGGAATGTACAAACATCAATGGTCTCCTCTCCTTCTCATTCGTAGTATTTCCAATTATTGCTTCTATTTTTTTTCTGAAAATGTTAACTTGAAGCAGATGTCGTACATCCGATCACCATGTTGTTCGATAACTTTCATTTGTTCTTCTTTCATACTCCGAAAAACGAATTTAATGAAGATGCTCTTAAACGTTAAAGAAGCAATATCTTACTGATTTCTCTCTCTCTCTCTCTCTCTCTCTCTCTTTCTCTCTCTCTCTTTCTCTCTCTCTCTCTCTGTAGAGGAAGCAATATCAGTTATTGTTCATTTCACATCCAAAACAATAATATTTGTTTTAGTAAATATCTTCTCCAGAAACCAACGATTGAAGAGTAAGATAGATAGATTGCGAGAGAGAGAAAGAGTGAGGGAGAGAGAGAAACAGAGAGAGAGAGAAAGAGAGAGCTGATCACAGGTATTTAAGAATGATGTCAAGGAAGCATAACTTCGAATAAAATGAATTTCTGTTCTACATATCATTCACGCTTCTCAATCAACGAATGATGCAGAAACATCATCAGCTGATAAAAGCGTTCTCATAAACTAAGTTGGCATAAGCTCCTAACAGCTTATCTTCCTCATTCCACCGCTTTCATAAGGTTCGAATGTGTTTCTTCACTAAGCGCACAAACGAAAATGCCTTTTAAGGCATATTTACCGTCTCTAAGTTTGTCGAGTCGTTCGTTCTGGACCATTGTGTATGTCAGATCCAACCTTCTCAACGATTTTTCAGAATTTTTTTTTTGTAAAACATAGAAAAAAAAAATTTGATGAAAGAATCTTTTTTCGCCCTCTTATTAGATCTGATTGTTTGTCCTTGAATAGTAACAGATGCTTCATCCAACCACATCTTGTCGTCGATTATCATATGTTGTTCCATCTCGACGTTCATGTCAATTCATAGTTTATAACCGTCGAGCAACACTTTCATCTGAAAATGTGGTATTTTTTCATTATTTTTCTTATTTTGCAATGTTTAAATATACAAAGAACGGTGGAATTCTTTTGTTTAAACATATTTCTAACTCAATAACCTTCTAATTTTGCCATATTCGGCATACAGTTCACGGTCACCAGTTAGCAGCTGTTCCTCTCCCTCTTGGTTATATGAAACCTTCTAACTGATGTTGACTAAGGTCGTATATGGAATACAGCATATAACATTCATAGATTTACTACTTAGCCAACCGCAATCATAACCACTGTTTGAAATTTTCATTGCAAAACCATTTTCTGGAGCAGACACAAGCAAACGACCTCGGAAGTTCGGTCATCATGCCGTTGTCATTGCTATCGCTTCTTCGCCATTTTTTTTCCATTTTGATCATTAAGTTGAAGGCTGCTTCATAACTAGAATTCAGAAGTTTCTGCTGTAGCTGAAGATTGATTTTGTCCTTATAAGCTTTCCCATAGCTGTTTCGCCCTCAGAAAAACAGAACTTGGCCAATTCCCCCCCCTTCATCTCTTCCAATTATCCGCGTTCATCTGTCCTCAAATATATTGTTTTTGAGACTTTTCAGAATTGTCTTTACAATTAATTCTTTACTACGTTCTTTCAGTCGTTTCTTTTTTGGAAATCATCCATGAAGCTTCTCTTCTCTCAATTATTTTCTATTATTTAATTAAATCTCCATACAGCTCATCTTTCATTTTTGTCATTCTTGCTCTATCTCTCCTCTAATCTTTGCTAAACCAATGATTTCCATTTATGGAAATCAGAAGCAAGCAAGAGTATAAAAGGAGAGAAAAATAAAGAGAGAAAGACAGAAAGAGAGGAGTAAGGGAAAAGAAATAAAGAGAATGGAGAGATATGATAAACAAAATCTCAGCAAACACCTTCCATTATTAGAAATCTTGACAACAACCCATTTTCACCTGATTACTAAAAATTATATTTTTTTTCATGAAATAATATGAAAAAGCATATGTTCTCTCTTGATCGCGTGCATGTTGAAGAGAGTCCTCTCTCTCTCTCTAATTCTCTCTCTCTCTCTTTATATATATTCATCTATCTGTTTTCAGTTGCAAAGGCTTCTTCAAACGGACAGTTCAGAACAAACGAATCTACGTTTGTGTGGGTGGAAGAACTAATTGTCCTATGACCAAAGAGCACAGAAATAGGTTCGTTCCTTAACTATTCTATAATAATCATTTTACAAAAGAAAAAAACTTATTCTATATGGCATCACATATATCCATTTCTCCATTTATAACACAAAAAAAAAGAAAATTGAAAAGCTTTTTTTCCACAATTCCCATTATTGCTCACATTGTTGGACAAACTTTGCGGCAGCTTTTCCAAAAAGAGAGTTGGAAAATAATATTTTCCGAGTCAAATTCAAATATTCTGAAACGAAATTTTATTAAAAGTTAAATGTACTTATAATTATATGATATAATTTGATATAAATGTAGCATTTACTTTTTTCCAGGTGTCAGTATTGCCGATTTCAGAAGTGCTTACAACAAGGAATGGTTTTAGAAGGTAAGATAGTTCTCTTCTCTCTATACACATCACCACCTTCACATCTCCCTCCCTCTCTCTCTCTCACTCCCTCTCTCTTTCTCATATTCTTTCTCTCTCATCTCATATACATATGATATTGAAGAAAACAGTAGGAACAATATATATTAGTTGATAATATCGTTTAGTATATGATTTGCCTGTTTACAGGACAAGTCTCCTTGACAACCTCATACGGCTTTCACTGTTTTTCTCTCTTTGTTGTATTTTAAAAAAAGAACAAAAAAAAGAAAGAGAGAGATGAAGAAGGAAGTTTCGTTGAAACAAACCTGCCGTCCATGTCTTTCTCTCTACCAACTCAACGATTCTATCTTTTCTCCTCAAATATATCACTTTTATATCCATCGCAAATCAAAAACAAATTTTTTTTTTCATTTTCAATAGAAGAAAGACGAAATGCTAAGCTTTACGTTGTTTTCAATTCCAAATTTGCATATCAGTTAACTACTGATTATTTTAATTTCACGTGGAATTTCACGTGACGTTATTTTCGCGAAAAAAATCGAAAAAAACGCATTTTGGAATTGCATAGCAAACAGAACGGCTGTTACTTTATTTCTTTTCAATTAATATTATATTATTAGTTTTTAAATTTTGAATTTTAGCTGTTCGCGAAGACCGTATGCCTGGAGGGCGCAATGGCAGTTCAATCTATAACATCTACAAGGTAATGAGTGATAGAACGAAATGTTAAAAGAATTGTTATTTATAGCAAAGACAGCGCAAAGGCAGACGATGTGATGGGCGCGATGCTGATTGTTCACCTTTAAGCTCTACTCCATCGGATGAGCTTTCCATCAAGAGAATTTGCGATAGAGATACTATACCAACGAAAAAGAATATGATTCAAGTAAGAAAGCATAAATATAGAATAATCTTCTCATATAATTCATATTGAAGGATTTAATAGAAATCGACAGAATAGATAAATTGATCAATTTACGTGGTTTACGTGTGCTTCCATTGCAAGACGAAGAATTAGCTCCAGCTTGTCAACGATTGAGTAGGATAGGTAGGGAAATATTGAAATGTATATAGTTTATCATATAACAACTTTATAGGAGATGAAATCGTTGAACAACTTGTTGAATGGACAAAGCTTCTTCCGTTTTATCCTGAACTACCAGTTGAAGTTCATACACATCTGTTAACTCAACGTTGGGCAGAGCTTGTAAGTGAAACAGTCATAATCACGTTTTCTATTTTCTGACTACAGGTTCTGCTTTCGGCATGTTTCTATGCTTGTTCTATAATGAACTCAACAGGAGAAGATTCTGATGTTTCAACAACTACCATTGATGGACATGATGAAGTCTCATTCACAGACTATCATGTAAACATGAGTCTTCTACAGTCTCGTTTATCAGCTGTCATGGGCAAATCAATTCCACTAGAACATGTGGTTAAGTAAGATTATCCTATTTCGTATACGAATCAACGAATTATATTATTGCAGAGAGGCTGGACTATTGGTTGAAAAGTTCACAAACCTTCTTCATTCATTTTCAAAGATGAAAATTAGTGCGGAAGCTTACGTTTGTATCAAAGCAATCACATTGCTCCATTACAACACATCACCAGGTTTGTTTGGTAATCTGTACACATACTGAGATGTTAATTCAGAAGCTGTTGATAACAATAACCATGTGAAGGAAGCTCACATTCGCAAAGTCACACACATTCAGGATCAATTTGTGAAAGCTCTTCAAATTCATTTGACGCAATGTACTTCATCGGCCCGTTTGAGTGACATTCTACAATGGTGGGTTTGAAACTCAGTGAATCGTTCATGACTAAGATTATCTATAGGCTTCCTCAACTCCATGCAGCTTCTTCAGTTCTCTTACATTCAAAAATGTTCTATGTGCCGTTTTTGATTTGTAAGAACCCAAGACGCTTTGCCGGACAAGAGGCTGACGATACCGACACAGAATAGAAGCTTATTGAGCTTCATAATGTTTCATCAAACATATTCTAGTTTCTTATTCTTCATATGAATATTCATACGTCTTATCACTCGCTAATCCTCTAACATAGTTCATCTATCCCCTATTACCACACATACCACCCTCTTAGTGTTTTTCCCTTCATACTAACTCTGTTGAAAAAGAAATTGGCTTTTCTTATTCATTGAAATTCTTTCGACCCGCTTCATCCTGGATCGTGTAGCATCGTTCTTTCATTTCGTGATCCGTTTTTCCGAAACTTCTCCTGCTTTACCAGCAACTATTGAATTCTTCTTCCCTTTTTTGTTTGGACGGGTAGTCTGCAATAATTAAGTATATTAACCTTTCATATGATATATTATATAACTTTATATCCTATATATACATATTCATATATGTATTGGAACAAACACACAAATGCAAATTCTATATGATTAAGCTATGAATTTGGCTTTAAACAGCATTTTCTTAATAATCCTACGATTGATCCGGCTTTTGAATCTTTCAAATACACTATCGGTGCAGATGGAATTTAATTATAAATGACGTCATGTTTTATGAAACTGTTAGATAATTAAGTTAAGTTAAGAGTAATCTTTGTTTATGCTGATACCTTATTTGGTCATTTAGTGGACAATCGCCTTTCAATAAACGTTTATGACTATCATCATCTTCATTCTCTTTCATTTGAAGCTGTTTTTTTCTTTGTAAAAACTCATCGAACAAATATTTCTCATAGGTTTTGTTCTTCCATGTCGGACCAAAAGCCTCTTCAGGATACCACAAAAGGAGTATTCGCTCAGATTTTAATTGAATCGACGCAGTTTCAAAGCTGCATCGTCAATTGCTCATCCACAGAGCACGAGAGACTTGAATAAAGTGAAAGAAAACATATGAGGAAAGAGAGAATTAGAAAATTGTCCAACAAAACAGATACAGAGGAATGAGGTGAAATGAAAATGCACGAATATTCAGCTTAAGGCACTCCAAAACTATACTTCTCAATTTATATACAACCTTATTTCCATTTCATAGACAGTCTTCTTTACCTATTATGCATTCGCAGCTTCTTCTTCTCCCATAAATTCAACACAAAAAATGAAGATTCGAAAAATAGAACATTAAAGCCTCTAAGACATGCGAGTCAAATGATTACTTGGCTGCTAATTCGTTGGAAAAAGGTTGAAAGCTTGCCTATGGTCCCTAAGGGACGAGCAGCTGTGAACATTCCCTTCATCAAATCTTCCTATTCACAATTTTTTCGTCCAGTTTATCATTTATATTTTCGAAACATCACTGTCTAGATGCGGACGAAGCGAAGTTCTCATTGGAATGCCGTAGGCAGGACTTTATGGAGTCGTACACTTGTGTTCGTTCCTCAATAAACCGATGAACATATAAGCATAACATCAAGTTCTAATTTAAGCTAGTCAGACCACCAACATCATCATCTTCTCATCATTCAGCTAGAAGCTCCAGATGAGTGCTCACTTTGAAGATGTTCAAATTTTTCATTTTTATTTGCATTCTATTGACTTCAGCTGAATAAAGCACGTCAATCCTTTATACCTTCTTTTTTTGCTTCCATTTTTTTTGTTCTTGTGAAAAATGGAAGGGAGAGAGAGAGAGAGAGGAACGCGTCTAAGAACTAAATCCTCAATGTCTTTGTTCAATAAGCTTCTCACCCACTTTCCTTTATAAAAAAAAACATCAGACAGCCATTGATTAACTTGAACTATTCCGAAATTCCCACATCGTCCATTCACAACGAGAGAAACATTCTGATTTCCGAAACAATTACGTTTGTATTTATTGCAATTCCTTGTTGTGTTTCTTCCGAAAACCTATCATACATCGTGATTTCTTTAGGAATATGTAAATAAAAAGAGAAATATTTCCATTTCTCTCTATACAAGGAAGCTTTCCATGTTGGGAATTCATTAAAATGATGTTGAATGACATTCCATGACAGCACTTCTTAATAATTCTCTTTCATTATCTAATAAACTAAACACTTTGATATGAAATATTCGTTTCCGCAATTTACACCAAAAAAACGCTTGCTGAGCCGTTTTTGTTCATCAGATAGTGCAGTGCGTAGTTCGTCTTCTTTGATTGCGTTTGATGAGAATCTAGTCAATCTCATCTATTCCTTTTTCATACAATCCTCTTCCATGAGCATTACGTTTTCATCAATGAACTCCTATTGCTTGTATCAGGATGAAATCAAAAAGAAACTTTTTTTTCTCATTTCATTCATCAAATTTAGAGAATTTAATCTTTGAGGAAAGGCTTTTCACCATAATATTGCCTTACATTGGCTATTCCCTATTCCACTCTCTCTCTCTCTCTCTCTCCCTCTTTCTCTCTCTCTATCTCTTCTTTTTTCCTTTCATACCTCATTCTCTATCTCCTTTTTTGATGAAAAAAGGAAAGGCTATTGCTTGCTTTTCTCTTCTCGATCTCTCCTTTCTCAACTTACTTTCTCGGACGAATAGAATATTTTTTGTGAACTTTGATTATAAGCTTTAGTTCTTAGCCGTTCAAACATCTTACGGAGGAATAATTGCGAATTCCCTCTTACATTATCCATCCTTAATCTGCAAAGGATATTTTAGATTCAGTAAAGAAAACTTTTATTTAACGAAACCTCTCTATATATCATATAAGCAACCGTTCCGCACGCCTTCTCAAATCAGAAATGAAGTGAATATGTGTTGCCACGTGCATTTCACGTGGTTCATGTGAATGTTACGCTAATTTGCTGTTAAATAACTTTCTCATTGAGCGTCTTATCTCTAATTCGGCTGAATACCCTTTTTTGACCAAAAATTTCAGAAAAATGATATAATTGACATCCGTCAGCAGGAAGTCACAATTATAATGCTAATAGAGGTGAATGATGTCAGATTTCCATCTTTGAACACCCTTATCAACCTTATTCTATCATTCTACAGACGAATGAAATTCGAAATGTTCTCAAGCTTCTTCAAAGTATTTTCAAAGTTAACAATCGCTTCTGCTATCCGGTTATTCCACCAAAATATGTAGGAAAAACTCGAGTTTTTCTCTTTTTTTTGGCCTACCGTTAACAATCTCTCATTTACATTGATTTGCTTTTTTGGGAAAAAGCTGTCGGAAGCAGTGAGAGAGCAGTTCTTAGATAACGAACCCTAAACAACCTCGTTTCCAATCGTTTTCAACTTCATCTCCTTGAGTAATGGGTGGGTCTGCTCACGAGTTGCATCTATCATCATCTTAACTCCCGCAACCCCCCACTCTTCAAAGTATACCTGCTCTGCTGCCTTCTCATGACATCACCAACTTTTCTGCAACTTTTCAGCATTTTTGTTAATTTCACTCCAAAAGTATTGTTTTCCCTTCTACTCCCCCCCCCCCCCATCTGCGATTGTCATGAATGCATGTTATAAATGCTTCCTATGGTGTGACCTCTCTCAAGTGAGGGCTATATAATTTCCTAAAGCTTCATCTCCTACCCCCAATTTGATCTGCTCTTTCATATTCGAGCAAAACGTTCCGTGTCCTCCTTTCTTTTTCTATTTCCTCATAGTTTGTTACAAACGAAACGGAAAAATGGTTCAACAACTAGCTTTCTAGTTCTTTTCACAAAAAATGAAAACAAATTTCATTCTTTTTTCGTTATTAAATATTTATTGCAGCAATATTTCCTTCAAAAACTCTCTTGCCAAGCATCTTTATGATTCCCACGTTCCTAATTCTTCTCAAACCGCTTGATAAGTTCAGCTTGCTCTCTTTATCTCTTCACTTGCGGTGTTCTCGGCTTTAACACCTCCTTCGAGTTCATGTTCCTCCATAATAGGAATATGAAGTTTACTTATCCACTGCTTCAACGAGAACTATAAATCATTGGCAATGCTCTTTGCGAGAGGTTCTCTATTAAAAATAAGGGGGGAAGTAAACAAAAAAATTATTCTCTCTCTCCTAATTATATCCAAATAGCCTACCAAATTTAGTAAACGTTGAACTTTATAAAAAGTTTGTTTTGTTTCTTTGCTTTGTAGTTGTTCTTATTGTCCTTTCATCTCCTCAGAGAGATATTCAAGAATAGCCTCCCACCCCTCCCAACAAGGAAAAAGCTTGAACTTCTTTTTTTTTCGAAATGAGGACATACTTTCATCAATAAAAACAAATAATTCAATTTTTTTTCGAAACCTTCATGCTGAAGACTGACTAAGGATATATGTACATAAGTTATACCTTTGTCTCTGTTTCTATATGTTTACCTCCATGTCTCTCCCTCTCAAATATGTTGGATGGTTGGATGCCTTATAAAGGCTTTCATTCGAATTCTCTCAAAGCCCACTTCTATCTCTCTTTGACTTTCATTTACCTAAATAATTCACAAATCTATCATTTTTCTTCAATAAAACTAATGTAGTTAACATAATGAAAATGACGAATATTCTCAGATTCTAAAGAGCCAGGGTAATCATATCCTTTCAGCTTCATGTGAAAGTCTTTAAAGCTTTTCAATTTTCTTTTCACCAAAAGTTCAAAGAAATCTGAAAATGATCCAGATCGTTCGCATGTCCCCACGTCTTATTCCTTCACATAAATGCTGTTCACAACGTTTATTCTATTCTTGTTCCTCCTAAGGACTCTCAATCGCCATAGAGACTATTTCTCTATAGATGTCATCAAATATTGAAAATAAGCTATGTGAGTCACATCTCGTAGATGTCCTCTTTGTCTCACCAATGCTCCCACATAAACAACTGCATAAAAGACAAATTATGGCACTAGCTTATAGATAATTTGATTCTCTCCCCTTCTCTTCATAGATTTAATCTTTAAACACATACATAAACACTAGTTCACCCATAGATTTTGGTTCCATCGAATTAGTATCAGCTTCTTTTACCAGAACAACTGTTATTTCCGCGAACATCTAATTTCATAACTATTAATTATAAATATTTTCATAGTATTCCAGTTTGATTTTAAAGAA